TTTTGATTGGAACCATGCTGCTGGCATAAAGAAAAAATTTAGATTCTCATTACAAATTGTCATTAAGAAACTGTCAATATGTTTGTCGGAAAAGTAACTAGATAGAAATTTAAACATGTCATCCCTATCCATTTGAATCTTCTGATTCAAAATAGGTGCATCAAAGTGTGCGGTAATGTTCTGTTGTTCGCTTGTTAATTCTAGTGAGATACACTCATTTCCTACCAGAAAGTTAGTTGGTTCTAATTCTGTGAACTTATCTGTTTGAACAGAAAAAATTGTATTTATCACTGAAAGCGACGTGTCTCTGCTTTGTTGACATTGATTGAACGATATTTTGATATTTGTATATGTTGGAATGATATCTTTTTAGTATACTTTTTAAAAGTTTATTAACCGAATGCAATTTTTGCTCAACTTCTGATGTTTTATTTTCCTTTTCATCTGCAAGATCAAGTGATTTGCTCACAACATTTGATAAACGGCCAATTTCTTTTTTCATCGTCAGTAGCTGCTTTCGTTGATGGGTAGATATCAATTTTAATGATTTCAGCTCTTTTGATTTTTTTGAAAGATCTTGGCTCTTTTTTTTAATTTACTAATTTGCGAAATTACATTCTCGCCAACTCCACTTAACCTTTTTTTTCTTTTTGCTTAGTTCAGCTTTCAAATTATCGTTTTCCAACTTAATTGAATTTATTTTGGCACTATGTGACTTTAAAATTGTTGCCTGTTTTGATACATTCTTCGCGAAATGTCTGTTTCTTTGTACAATTCTTGCACAATCAACACTACATGTATCATTAGACGTCACTTTAAGGTTTACAGGTAGAAGATGTGTCTTTTGTAGCTTTAGTAATTTCATTTTGAAACGATTCTTTCTTTTCTTCCGGTAGAACAAGTTTGTCATTTAGAAAACTTTTAAGTTTTTCTTTAACTTTTGTATCATTTCTGGCATTGAAGCACTTTTGCAATTCCTTAAATTTTTTTTGTCTTCTGTTAAAGAGCGCCCAGATAGCTTTTCCATTCAATGCAGTTTTTGTAAAGTGTGAAAGCCAAACAGTTGCAATGTCAATCCATTTGTCAAATGAGGAACTTCCTTTCTTTACTTTTAAATTGTAAATTTCAAAATTCTTTGCTGTATGTATTAAACATATGAATTGTCCAGTAGTTAGGTTTGAGAAGTAATCGAAACAGCCGTCTGACGCAGTGTTACTGAGGTCATATAAATTCTCTGGATGCTTAATTGGCCAGTTCGGGATCGGATCTTCAGAGTCTTCAAGTGTAAGGCTGGTTAAGGTGAAAACCAGATGGGAGTAAACTGAAAGAAAATAGATAAAAATAAAGAATAGTCATAAAAACTGCATGCTATATTTTTTTTCAGGAGTGATTGATATTCTAGGATAAATCGTTCATAATCTTTCATTGAAAATACACATGTACATGACGGTACATGTACAGTCAGGCCAAAATAAATAGTGTTTCCTATTTCACTTGAAAAAAAATTTGGTAGGGTAGGTAGGTAAAACATTTTAATATATTTTCTGAACTGGATAGGTGAAGATTGATCAGTTGTATGGAATAGTTAATTGTGTACTAGGTTAAGATAGAACATTGTTTTTTTTTATTCAGCCACTGTCAACTTCAAGTAAACCTGAACCTCCCCCTTTTTCCTCCATGATTTCAAACATTTATGATTTTCAAAGAACAAACATTTATTGATTGAAATTGTAACTCATGAGGGTACTTGTGGCTAATCTATGTAACCTTGTATCAAAATAAAGCGAAATATGCAATGTCGAATATACATTTTCATTGCGATTGTCAACTTCCGGTTTCCATTTTCGGAAAATTCACTGACCCCCTCGCGACTAAATTGACTCGTGCAACTTCAATTTATGTCCAATCTTGTAATGTTATACATCATTTTCTTCGGGAATAATAATTACTTTCATCTGTGAACGCACAAAGATGTGCTGTCTGTTGTAAGTCGGCAAATCACAAAAAACTTACCAACTCTGAACCCCATGATCGAATTTTCTGGTGCGACATCCCCAACAATCCTGATACCGCATTCTTCCCGTTAAACCCGTTTTCATTGGTCGAAATGTAAAAGGCTCGCCGCACAGCGCCAATGATATTCAAGATAATTACCAAATCTGCAACATTGCCTTAAAATTACCAATTCAGGGGCAGATAGATGTTGACCTGATGAACAATTCTACTTCTTGTTAGATTTCCTCATAATGCTTTGGTTTCAGAGATACAAGCCAAAATATACATTTTACCCCTGTGTTCTATATTTAGCCATGGCGGCCATCTTGATTGGTTGGCCATGTCATCGTCCACATTTTTTAAACTAAATACCCCAATGATGATTGTGGCCAAGTTTGGTTAAATTTGGACCCGTAGTTGCAGAGACGATTTTGTAAAAGTTAACGGACGACGGACGCCAAGTGGTAAGAAAAGCTCACTCGGTCCTTTGGGGTCACCCATTACTATTTCTTTGTATATACAAGATATTTTGATTGATTGATTTTTGGTTGCTTAACGTCCAGTGGCAAATATTTCATGCATATTCAGGACGAGAACAAGTTAACAATAAATACAATATGTAGGTTCTGTAATAGAGGCGTCCGGGATTAAGGTTGGAGAAATTTCGACTGCCACGGGAAATCAGGGTATATTGGATAGGGAAAGATATTTAGCCTTGCAACAGGCCACCTACGGACCCCTCAGAGAGTTGTTGCTAGGGTTCTTAACGTGTAAAGAACGTGGCACTCTTTACACGAGGCATCGGATTTAACGTCCCCATTCTTACCGGACGTGGCTGCAAATTTGTACATCCCGCACAGCCAAACGGACGCCCCACTTTGACGAGGGTTTTACTGTCGGTCGGAGGAAGACCAATGGTGACCATACTTCTATTCCCCAGTCACCCTTAGGGGTAACTAGTATAGGGTATCTTTGAGCTACATGTATATAACAATTAATATTTGTAACAAGAATTTTGCCTTTTAAGCCATCAAAATTTATAATTGTCTTATTTTTGAGCCATTTTGATATGCCAGTCTTTTAAAACAGGACATATTGTGGTATACCATTGTCCATCGTGAATATCTATTGACAATACGACGGGTGCCAAGTGTGGAGCAGGATCTACTTACCCTTCAGGCGCACCTGAGATCACCCCCAGTTTTTGGTGGGGTTCGTGTTGCTTAGTCTTTAGTTTTCTATGTTGAGTCTTGTGTATTATTGTTTGTCTGTTTAAGCCATGGCGTTGTCGGCTTTTTTTCGATCTATAAGTTTGAATGTCCCTCTGGTATCTTTCGCCCATCTTTGACATGAGATCTCATTTTATTTATATCAAGAGCATCCCTTAACCCAATCCGGGTAGCGGCACTCAAGTCCCAGGCCTGAATGCTAGTTGGTGGAGATTTGGAAGCCCATATCAACAGGCTAGGGCTAACAGAGCCCCACACCATTGGACAAGCTGTCCAACGGTAAATGAAAGATATGCATTGAAGTTGGCTGTCAATTGTTGAATTATGTTTCTCTTTGTAGAGCCAAAAACAGTGACTTACACATGAGTAGTAAGATAACAGATGCCTCTGTAGTTAACATTGGAAAACATGAATGAAAAATAAAATGACTTTCTACAAACTGCTGGTTTTAGCTCTGTTAAGTGTTTGCAGACTGCAGTGAGAGATAAAAAAGACGACATATTCAAAAAGCTAAGGACTGTGTTACTACTACTAACTGGGGTTCTTTACCCCCCTACAATACCTATTATAACCCCTATATTTTGAACCCCTAGATACACAACCTCCATCTTATATGGGGGATAATTAACCCCAACCTTTCCAACACCCATATAACATCCAATGATATGGGAGTTAAATAACCCCCAGACTTTAACATTTAAATGTCAAGGCGGTTAAATTGATTTTAAATGTTATACAAGTTTGACACCCATATATCCAACATCTAAGTTTTGTACTTGAGGGTCATGTCCCATTTGTTACATCCAGAATATATAGTGATAAGATTTTCTCTTATGTATATTTACTCCAATTTGTTTTCTTTCTTTTTTTTTTTACCAATTTAGGGTAAAGGGGGGGTGTTTCTGTTTAACCAATCAGGAATACAAATATATAACTGACAATTCAACAATATTTTATAAAAGTGTGTTTAAACTCTATAAGGTTATATATATTTTTGAATTCTAACAGAAAGGATTTACTATTTAAATTAACCATGTCTCATACCAGAATCAATTCAATATCACCACAGAATAGTGTCACATCAAGTTTAATGAATATGTACCATCAATATGAAATTCACATAAATGTACTGAAATGGACAGGTGTTATAGTGATATTCATATTTACAGCATCTACCCTATGGATAACAGGCAGTTTATATTTGTCATCAAACATGTCAAAGCATAACATGAATGTTTCCAACTATGATATAAATGAACAGAACCTTACTTTTAACCAATCATTGTGTTCTTATATTAAACATTTCCGTCTACCTGGTGAATTTATATTAACTGTGTGTGAATACAATAAAAGAACAATTATAGACATTCGTCAATTTTTGAACAACAAACCTACTATTAAAGGAATATCCTTATCACAGAGACAATGGGACTATTTGAGGTCTATAATACAGTATATAACAAGAGTTATCTATCACAGAAGTTAATAACAGGACTTACTTATGTATTTGGAAAATATCAAAATAAATGTATGAGCTATTATGTAATATATGTGTTTTTCTTTATATAAAGTATATTTACAGGTATTTAATGTGTTATGCATGTAGACATGAATGGTACAGATAAAAACTCACATGTGACTTTGATTGTGATAAGAGACGGAAGGCAAGAGGGTAACTGCATTACGGTCCTGTCCACACATTTGCTCATTATGAGTTTGTCTCACCGTAAGGGTACTTTTTGTGTAATAAAAGATTAAAGAAAACAATCATAACATACAACTCTTTTATTGTATTTAAAATTCTTTATATAACTAGTGTCCATTTCCAAAGATCAAATTATATGCCATTTGTTCTTCTTTCTAATAGCATTTGTCTTTTTCTCATTTTTAAATGTTTTTTAAAGCTAATTCCCTCTTCTAACTTTCTCTTTTGTATTGTCAATATGTGGGCATTGTACGCTATCTTGGTGGCTAGATCTTCAATTCTTGTACTCATAATGTTGTTTAAATGTTCCACCATCTCTAATTCTGAAGGTCTAAAAAATATAGATAAAATTTATTTTTTACAGCACAAAATTAAAATAATAAATTATGATATATACAATTACTAATGATTTATTATATAATCACATTATATAAGGGTTTTTTAAAGTGATTTTTAAACATGAAAGTCAATGGTTATAATATACAATATCTAAATTTTGTGAAGATATATCTCCCTGATGCAAGGATCTGACCTTGAATAATATGGCTTAATGTTTAGGAACTATGTGTTTTATTTGCTCACAATCAGACATTTTCTTTTAGATTGTGGATCTTTCAATTATTTTGATGTAATCTGTACTGAAGAAGTATAAATGACCAAAATGGTCATTTATAGAAGTTACATTAACGGTGATAATGGTATATTTCGTTGTTTTACAAAAATTGTATCTCTCTACACTTCTCTTCCCCATATTTTTGGGTGGGGTCAGTCCATAATTAACTGTACAAAATTCAGGAAAGGATGTGTGTGTGTGTTGTATTGGAGTTATATTATTTTAAAACAAAATAGGCTTTTAAAAGAAAAAATATACTCACATGTCCTGGGTATTTCTATTAGGTGGCTGTTGTTGCACAGGTTCCAAAGGCACATTAGTAGATCTACCAAAGCATAAATTAGATGTATTACTTTTATGTAAAGATTATAAAATACATAAATTTTAGCAGTATATAGAAGATAAATGAAGATAAATTTAATACAATGGAAAACGAATACCACAGCAACAAATCAAAAGGATAATAAAAACAAATCATAAATTTATAGACTATGGCAAAATTCGGACACATGCAAACAAAGGACGCAACAAGAAATATGTATAATACACACGAAGACAACAAACAAGTACATGGACAGTGTAAACTCACTCAAAGGATGTTTAAATGATATGTTATCAAAATAATTGATTATATTGTGAATATGAAGGCAACATAGTTTTGCTAACAACCTTAATGATATATACCTGGTCTGTTCAGGGGTTCTAACTGGTACTTCCTGTTTTATGACAGATTCCATTTTAATCTAATAATGAAAGAAACAAAAATATATTTAAAAAACAGATATAACCATTACAATATTAGGTATGTATTTAATAAATATACACAAATATTAAAGAGGGTCTTAATGTGGACATTTTTCCGCAATCTCTGAACAAAATTAAGGAGAATAAGGATCACATTAAATTCAACAGTTTTCTGGTTTTGTTATTCGTAGTGAAATATCATCTCCAAAATCAGGAATAGGCCTAACTTACGGACATATTTACACTAAATTCCTTTACACAAGTTCAATATCATTTTTTTTTATTATTTAATTCAGAATTTAGGGTTTACCTGTGTCACATTTAGACTGATTAAAACCAACATTAAATCACTTACACATGTAGTAGAATTAACCAATTCAAGTTTAATTAATTTATTAGAATTATAGAAACAAGTTTATTTTGTAAGGTTTCTAACAACAAAAATTCATAAATTTAAGTTAAAATGAAGATAACAAATATTTTATCTCATATATAAAGAATATGCATTAAAATGAAAAATAACTCAATAAATTGTACTTACATTTTTCTCAAATTTCTTTCTCTGAATAAAGTTTAACTGATTTTTACACGTATTATATACAAGTGTTACATAATAAATCAGACTTTTTAAAACTAGACTATATGCGTAATAGCAAAGATTTATTATATAAATAACCCATTCCAAATGCCACCCGTCTGGTACACTGCTTACACTCGGGGAAACCGTTAATTATCTTTGGTAATAGGATGTCACACATTTCATTAAATTTGATTAACATCTTGCTAAAGGATCATTATTATTTTAAAATGTTTTGTTAATGTGAGAAAATATGTAATAGTAAAAAAATATTATATAAACAACCCATTCCAAATGCCACTGCTTACAGTTAACTGTGAAACCATTTATTATCTTTGGTAACTTCATTTCAATTAGCACATTACTAAAAGATCATTATCTAAGAATAGTTTTCACTGTGTAATTTTAATCATGTTGTTAACGTTTGAAAATGATCGGACAATTAAATATCTTGTGTAACGTTCCGGAACCAATAACATATCCATTCCAACATATATATTTAGTGAACCGTAAGGAGTTATGTAATAACCACAGTTAATTTATTCAGTTTTCTCTCTTACGACGTTAATTATGTATATTAAAATATGATGAAAATTGAATTGTTTATAAAATATACTTATATTGTATGCTATATATTATATTTTTTATGACGATTCCGATGTTTTTATTCTGTTGTTTACAACCCATCACGTTCTCCTTGGTACATTAGAAAACAAACATGGCATTTTGGATCGTTCATTTTCTGGTGTTATCATTAGTTTTAAGCGTAGAAGGACAGATAGATTGTCAATATGAAACGGCAATTGCCAACTGCTTCTGTAGTACAGAAATTAACATACTTCAAAACGTCAGAATTGTTGAAATTCAGTCTGAAAGTTGTAATTGCACCATCAATTTTCTTGAGGCACAAGAGCAACCGCCAACAGTGGTACACATGTTTAACAAATTATGCAATTGGCACTGCAATGAGATAGAATGTGGTAAGTTTTATGATTCCCCTCACAAGATTTATGTCTTAAAGTCCCACCATTCTAACGATTTCAACAGTTTGCCTTATTTCGAAAATTAAAAAAGGGGGAATAACTCTAAAGGCATCCGACCAGATCTTGACTAGGAATTATTATAAAGTTGAAGGATAAATAAATCTGATCTTCATGTCCCAAATCGGAGATGGAAACTCCATCTATAGCTTTACAAATTTCCAGTAGAAAAATGTATGGTGGTAGGTCCTTGATGGGAACTTGTCAGAAAAAAAAATGCTAGACTTATATGAAAATAGCTGGAGCTAATTTGCCCCTTAATCACCATAGACTGTGTCAATGTCCTGTAAAGGGATGCCAAGTAAATGTACATGAGAAATCGCAAATTATTAACAATTGAATGAAATACATCACTTTCTTATCTGTCCATTCTGGATATTAGTATGGCAGGTCATAGAGGTCAAGTGGCGCCAAATGTGTCTGCTGCTGTGGGGGGCAAATGGAACGTATTCTGTATGTGCATAATTAAACAATTTTGTAGGTGATTTTTGCAGTAAGTGTGAGTGATCAATATTATTATTCCATGGGAACATTTCCAACAAATTTATTTTAAAACCAGGGATGAAATATCAAATTTCTCTTTCAATGTCATGCGAGATTGTAACCAGTTTCCAATCGGTTCCAGTATTAGATTTTTTTTTCATTTATTTTACAGTACCAGACAATATTTTACCAGAGGAAGGAAAAACAACCAGGAAACAGGAAATAACTACAAATCATGGTAAGATTTATTATTTAAGTATGATTATTAATGCGCAATACTTAAGTAAGATACTCCCAATTTGTTTTTTTTTTTTGTGTGTGTGTGTTTTTTTTTTTAAGGAAGGAATTAAACATGTTTTATTAAATTTTTTTTTCATTTATTTTGTAGTACCAGACAATGTTTTACAGGATTCTCAATTGGAAATGACTAACAAACAGAAAATATCCACAACACTGACTACAAATCAAGGTAAGATTTTATTATACAATTATTAATGAGTAATACTTCAGCTATATGCAGTACAATATGTTTTTTTTTAAAAGGGGATTGATGGTAAAATGTTGGGGGCAGTAAATTTTACCAAGATGCCTACTCTTATCAAATAATATAGAACTTTATACTGTACAGAGCATGACATTTCTCCAAACGGTTTCTCTACAATGGTCTGGGGTCAGGTTTTTATATGACTGAAAAAAAAACCGGTTGTATTATGGTATGTGGGACAGTCCATGTCTGGGTTGGTGTTGTCAGTGTCTGTGGACACATCAGTTTTTAATATAACTTTGAAATTTTAACATGAGATTCCTTGCCAATTGAGGACCTATCCAAGTAGCTCTGTAAATGGAACATTTTGATTGTTGAGCAGGTTTTTTTTTTTTAAGGGGCCCTACACAACATAGTAATGATTTATTTATAATAATTTTTTTTTTATTTCAGTACAGGACAAAACAATGATGAACTATGGTGACAAGATGTCAAGCACCATGGAAACTGCTATGATAGGTATGCATCTATAGTTACTTAAGTTATGTCTGTTTAAATACAGAAGAACTTTGATTGCTGGAACACAATGGATATCTTGAACCTGTTTTGTTGTCACTCTCAAACATCTAAACTTATGTCCCCCTATATCCTAAAGGGAGGTAATTTAATTATCTCCCTTGCCTGCATCAGTAAAGGGAGATAACTGACTACTTTTTCTCATTTATAATAGTACTAGTAAAAAAAAAATGGAGTAAACATATATGAGATATGATTTTACAGACATGTATAAAATTTATTATATATAAAGGTCTGATGATATGTTTAATTTATATTTATATAAATTTGTTTTACAGCATTCTGGGCAGGGTGTGGAATTTTTGGGATGTTTACATTCATGTACCTCCTGAAATGGATACTACAACTGAAACGAAACACTACATATTTGCCATTACACCAACCGCTAGACACCACCACCATTACAGCCGACAGACACCAGATATCGCAAACACAGACCTCTTTTTTGAGTATGATTTCCTCTACTGTCCCGCCATCACTCACTCCACCTCCGACATCAACACCTGACTATTCCATAGACAGACTTCCTGTTTTTTCATTTGAGTCTACACCAATTGAACACACCATACCCTTACCAATATCAGATTCACCTACTACTTTTTTTGAAAACAGAGACTCCTCACCCGAACCGTCTGCTCCACCCATGGAAATGGTAGAACTGAATGAACCGGTGGCCACCAGAACCCGCAACAAGAAGAAACAGTTAGAAGCAGCCTTGTAAAAATTTTTAATCATGTTATATTTTCCTTAATTGTTGAACTCTGGTAATTTTTTATTTAAATATTTATAAACGCAAAATATTTTTTTAAGAATAATCTCTCCTTTAATTGAAAATTTAATGGTATATTTTGAACACTTGAAATTTTTAAAAATAAACTATTTACCCTCTCATTTGAAATTTTAATACATTTTCTCACCTGAAATAAAAGAATTGGAAAGATTAGTCTGTACATATTAGAAATACACTCATTAGCTAGTAGATTTTTGCTTGTTTTGATTTTTAGGCCTAATCCTTTTTATTTAGGTCAATGTATTTGAGCCTTTATTTTTTATGTTGGAGAGGGGGTGATGTTTTTCATAAAGGGGGAATAGTAAGGTGAATGCATTTATTTTTAGTATCTCAATGAAGATACATACACCAATTTCTTTAGTTATATAATATTTTTTTTTTTTTGTATCTATGAGAGGATTCTTATTATTAAAAAACAATAGATCCAAAACACTCAATGGTACATACTTTTTTAAATATGGATTTGCTGTCTCCCTAATTTTATTAAAAGTGCTTTATGGTGAAAGGGTGTATCTGGTTTTGCCTTTGAATGTATATTATTATTTGACTACACTAGGATAATACACATGTTTTAGTTTTAAATCTATAATGTTAAACTTTTCAACCTAAAGAAATATATTTACATCTTTCATAAAAGGGTTAATTTACATGTGTAAATTTCATTTAGATTTTTTTTTATCCATTGCAGAATAATATGATGCTCATATTAAAGATGTATATAGAGTAGTTTAGTATTTTTTTTGTTATACATGTTTTATGTATTGATGTTTAAAAATTTTATACTCATGTATGAAATTATTGAAAAACTCAATTACACCATTGGTTGTTAATTTTTTATTGTTGAAACTTGTTATTTTGTTTAAAGGTATTTGATTTGTATTACCTCATCACTGTTTTTTGATATGAATATATTTTACTTGATATTATTGCCATAACTGTTGTGACTTTTATATTTTAACTGACGTTTTTAATGCCATATGTCATTGTGCTTCATAAAAAGTAATAAACTAGTCAAGGTGCTATTATTGTTAAAGAATTGGTGTTTAAATGTTACTCAGGTGATTTTTATTCAAACATTGTTTTTTTAAAGAAATGATCTCAAAATAATAATAATACTTAGTTATTGTTGAGGAAGTTTTATTTTATGCAATCATTAGTTGTGTACAACATGGAGGTAATGTGATATTTTTTTGTGCATTAAAGAATTGGTGCTAAAATGTTACTCAGGTGATTTTTACTCATACATTGTTTTTTAAAGAAATGATCTCAAAATAATAATAATACTTGGTTATTGTTGAGGAAGTTTTATTTTATGCAATCATTAGTTGTGTACAACATGGAGGTAATGTGATATTTATTTGTGTTCATCCCAAATATATCAAGACTAATATGTGCCATACAATTTCCAAGAAATTCTGATATCACTATGTCTGTAATTGCTTTGTTAAACAAATACTTGTTTTATAAAAGAAACATAGGGGGAACATAATTAATTTAGTTTGATAAGAAGTTACTTGGTTATTGTTTATTGAATATTCTTTAAATATAAGATTTTGAAATTAAAAAGAAAACACACAAAATTATGAAAAGTTATTTTAATATTGTAGGTCTTGAAGATAAATGTGATATTTGTTAAAATATTTTGCATTCCTTTACCTGAAATTCCATTACCAAAAGCATTTTAATATGTATATTTGTTTCATGATGAATGTATATATTTTGATTAAAACCATTATGAACATTATGTCTTCATTTATCTATAATTTAGAAAGAAAAAAAATGTGTGACAAAGAGTACCACTATACAACAATATTTCATTATGTAAAACTCATTGGACTGTATCCAAGGTCATGACACAGAATAATTGAACCTTAACATTACCTCATACAAACAGTACCACTATACAACAATATTTGATTATGTAAAACTCATTGGACTGTATCCAAGGTCATGATGACATGACAAACTAATTGCACCTTAACATTATCTCATACAAACAGTACCACTATACAAATATTTTGTTATGTAAAACTCATTGGACTGTATCCAAGGTCATGACACAGAATAATTGAACCTTAACATTACCCCATGATTTTAGGGGTTATAAAACCAAGTAAAATCAACAAGATTTTATTTGAATGGGAACATATGAAATGTAAGGTAAGTGAACATTTCAAATATTTTTGCTTTTAGTACAATCAAACTAAAAATTTAGAATAGTGGCATCACTTTTTTTTTATATTAACATAATCAAGCAAATAGAAAATACCAAAGAAATAAAACCAAATGTTACAAAGTTTCTGGAAGGCAGTCTCATAGTTGCAAAATATTGTTATATGATGTAAATATACCCCCCAACCAATGTATAAGCAATTGTTGTCTCTTAGACATACATATTAAAATATTTATAATGCGGAACATAACAAATATTTTTCAGTAAATGGACAAAACCAAAAACAATGAAGCATAAATCACCAAGTTTGAACAGTATTGTCAAGGATTTTACATCTTTAGAGGACTTGCAACAATGGGCATTAGACAATGACCTTATGAATCATCCTTTGATACAAAATAGGATCAGACACTTTCTGTCATTCAATTTGGCATATACATTGAACAAATTTACAGATGCTGACAGTTTAATAAGTTGGGCTACAGATAACTTCCTTTTAAACAACTCCCAAGTTTTAGACAGACTATCATTTTTGTTGACATGTCAAAAGTGTTATATGAAATTCAACTTATCATCGGAATTGAAAGATCATTTGGAATTTCACCAAATTATAGATGACATCAATACATTATCAAATTCAGATGACCTAGCCATTAATTTCGATTTGGATGCTTTAAACGAATTTAATGTTATTCAAAATATCAAAAACATAAATATGCCATCAACAAGTCACTCCCACATCACTTACAGAGCCACTGCTAGTCAATATATGGACCCCCATTCACAAACACCCTTTCAATATGGTATGAACCAAAATATAGTATATACCATGGATGACTTGAATCAAAGGGTGGATGCAAACGTAACGGACATGGATGCTATAACGACAAATTACATGGCTGCCCCCTACAACATTGAAGAGGGGGGTAGTGTTATTCAAGGTGTACACACGTCCCTTCAAAACAGTCTCGACCCTAATATCACATTGACTATGGACGACATCGAACAAAGGGGGAGTGGTAACGACAACGAAGATTTACCCTATTTATTTCAAATGTCAGGACAGAAAACCTTCTCCAAAAATTTAGCCCGTGAGACTACATACAAAGTAAAATTCAAAGATATCTGGAAAAATAAAAAAATGCGCAATCTTCAAAACGAACTTAGGGGTATGTTCGATGACGTACTGGGTAGGGCCAGAGGAAATGACTATGACCTCGGAAGAGTTATCATTTCACATCCCGAATTGAATAATTCGATAGTCGTACCATTGGATAGCTGGTCCAACATTAACTCGCAAAGGGTCATGGCTGCAGTAGAAAACGTCCTAAATTCCGACGAAAATTTACCCCTGGATACAGCTATGCAAGTCACAATAGGGAACATTGCAGTACCTAGTGGGAGTGGTACGATACCCATAACAAGACTCAAAGGAACCCGTAATTCAATTGCCCTAAAAAAGTCATTATTACAGGTATCGAATGACGACGAAATGTGCATGGCAACAGCGATTGGTAGATGTTTTTTAAAGCTCTGCGAAGTCGTTCCCCTGAACAAATGGAGAGAGATCACAAAAGACGATGACCCCAACATGAATACTTTTCAAAAAGTCTTGAAACATGGCATGACTACCAAAAGTTATTACAAACACGTGAGTGATTCCGCCGTGAATAATAAATCTTACAGTAAAACCATGGCATTAACTTTATGTAAAGAAGCAAATCTTCCAACTGACAAACCCCTAAGCATTAGAGACATTCACAGCTTTGAAAACCTATTGGACCTCAACGTTTTGGTGTTATCCTCAAAATTAGGCAACAAATTTTATCGTGTGGCTAATAACCCCCAACGTAAAAACATTTACCTGTACCTTACGGGTGATGCAGACGGAAATGGACATTACGATGCCATAGGGAGTATAAATGGTTATTTTGGTTTTGGCTATTTCTGTTCGCACTGTTTAACCCCGTATAAAAACAAGGGGAGGCACTCCTGTAGCGAAACATGTGACGTTTGCGGTAGTCACCAATGTAAGATCAGTAACGATCAAGTTACTTGTTCCGACTGCCACCGAACATGTCGTAGTGAAGCGTGTTATAAAAGACACAACTCCCGTAAAACCATCAGAGGCCAGGATTGCGACAAATCAATGTGCGAAAGGTTTTACCAGTGTAGAACTTGTAAAAAAGTCCTAGAAAGAAACAAACGAGCACCCGAACAACATAGATGCGGGGAATGGAAATGTAAAAATTGTTTCCAATATCAATTAGGAGAGCATTTGTGTTATCAGCGGAAATCAATTTGGAATTCTAGTAAAAAGGAACCGAGGAAATATTTTTTTTACGACTTTGAAACAACACAAAATGAACAAATGGTCTGTAGGGAAGGTCATTTACTCGGCGAACCGTGCGAGAAACAATGCTCGACAACAGACAGGTGTAAAAAATGCGAAATTTGTACGAACTGTTATGAGGTCAGATGTAGATATGAAGAACAATGTTCTAATGGTTACGTACCCAGCCAACCTTGTAAAACGAAATGTACTAGGAAAACGAGATGTAACTCTTGTAAAATTTGCATCAACTGTCATCAGTCTTGGTGTGGACTGAATGAGCACAAGGTAAATTTTGCTGTTTTGCAATCTACTTGTACCCTTTGTGAAAACGATGATTTCACGATAAACTCTAAGTGTGACGTTTGTGGGAGTCGCTGTGAAAACTGTAGAATAGTAAAAAAGAACAAAAGGATTTTACCTTGTAAAGATGGTTGCGGTTACAGACAGAGGGTGTTTAGAGGTAACGACGTACCTTACGAATTCTGCTCTCACATCATGACCCCCCATTACAAAAACACGGTTCTCATAGCACACAACGCCAAAGGTTTCGACAACTACCCCATACTCAATGCACTCATAGATCATCACAGTGTAAAACCCGATAAAATCATCTTCGAGGGTTCAAAGATTGTCTATATGCATGTCTCGAAAAACTTAGACCTTACATTTCTCGATTCTATCAACTTTATCAATATGAAGTTATCAAAGATTCCACAGTGCTTCGGTCTTCAGGAGCTTCAGAAGGGTCAGTTCCCCCACCTCTTCAACACCCAAGAACACCAATCATATAAAGGACCTTATCCGGCTGCATCATATTATGGAGTCGAATATATGGGAGAAGAAGAAGCCCAACTATTTTGGAATTGGTACCGTTCAAAAGAAAATGAAATATTTGACTTTCAGTCGGAGATGTACAATTATTGCGTATCCGATGTAGATATTTTGAGGCGAGGATGTATGGAGTTTCGTAAAATTATGATTGATGTGACATCTGTAAAAGACACTAACGAAAAAGGCGAAATAATAACGCACGCCGAAGGTATAGATCCGTTTAATTACATCACGAT